AAAACTCTTTTTTTTAAGCCGAATACTTGAAAGCCAGGGATGTATAAGAACTGAAACAGTTGAAGAGCTATAGGACCAAAAGGGACATAAAATGATAGCCAAACCCATCTAGGTCAACTTTACCTGAGGCAGTTGAAACCTTAGTTTCTTCCTAATTTATAAATTTATAAACGGACATTTTTAGGAAATTTTGTCCAAACCATATCAGTACCGAAGTACTGACTACTGAGCTGATGATACACTCCGGGACTGATAGTCCACCAGTAGTGATATCGACCCAGTGTTGTAGAAAATGAAAAACAATACTTCATAAATTGCATGCTTCCGAAGCGTTTTTTTTTTTTTGGGGGAGGGGGGGGGGGGGATTTAGATCTCCATCAGGAATGCTTAAAGCTGAATATTTGAATGCCAAGGATGTATAAGAACCGAAACAGTTGTAGAGCTTTGTGAGCGAAAGGTTTCAACGTTGCTTGAGGGAGTTAAAATATTAGTTGATAAAATGTGAAATTAAGCTGAATTATTTAAGAAATTTTATCTGAAACATATGCGCAACAGAGAGTTGGAAAGTTGAAAAAGACAGGTAGATGATATTAGAATATGTGGTTCTTATGAATATGATCAAGCATTGCGAAGAATTCGGGAAATAAAGGCCTTTATCGTAAACCACCTTCTGGTATTTTGTTACGTGATCATTTTGTTTCATTATATAAAAATGACATTACAAATAATCCCACCTACTTTCACATTCCAAGGCAAGTTGGTCGATTCAAAACTCCTTTTCTAATTCTCTGAGAGTATTTTTTTCTTCCTTGACAGTCATTGCTTCAGTTATTACATAGTTTATACGATATTTACAATTGATTAAAATGTGTTTTGTAATTTTTATTAAAACATGAATATAGTAATTATTTTATTGAAACATGAATATAGTAATTATTTTATTGAAACATGAATATAGTAATTATTTTATTGAAACATGAATTTAGAAATTTGATTGAAACATGAATATAGTAATTTGATCGAAACATGAATATAGTAGTTTTATTGAAACATGAATATAATAATTTTATCGAAACATTAATATAGTAATTTGATTGAAACATGAATATAGTAATTTGATTGAAGCATGAATATAGTATAATTTTATTGAAACATGAATACAGTAGTTTGATTGAAACATGAATATAGTAATTTTATTGAAACATGATTATAGTAGTTTTATTGAAATATGCATATATAATTTTCATAAAAACTAATGTTTTGAAAGTAACGGTTTTCTGCCTTTAAAATTTTGTTGCAGTCGTTTGTTCAAAGTTTGGTTTTTTTTGTCTGTATTTCTAAGTTTTTTTTTTTATGTTTTTTTTTCTCAATTTTTTGGCCTCTAGCGCATTGAATAAAATTATAAAAGCTAATTCATCCAACATGACAGAGTTTTATAAAAACCAAATAACACATAACTGTGTTGTTCTGGGTTTTTTTTTTGTCAGTGCAACAATTTACTCGGTAAAGTGATAGAATCACATATTCAAGGGGAATAAGCCGAAAAACATTAAAAGAAAATACAATGTAATATAATTATGATTGTACAGAAGTCAAGATAAAAGATGTCGGATCTCTTTTGTTCTTATTACTCGTGTGGGTCATCTTCGTCTAATCTTGTTCTCAAATGGTTCATCCATTATCCAATGAATGTCATCATCTTGTTTTAAATTGATGTACCAGAAAACCTCAAATAAGACTATTCTTTTTTAATTCAAAATGCATCTTCAAAGAGTCTTATCTAAGCTTTGATGCAAGTTAACGTCAGTCAAAAAGAAAAATCTAAAACAGAACTAGAAAATCCCTGCAACTTGACGGAAAAAGACACTCTCCGCTTTTGTCTCTTTAACACGTTTGAAGTATTTCTAAACATCCTTCTTCAGAAATCTTTTCATTGAAAATCATACTAATTAATATAAATTTCTGTGTTGTTATAATCATGCTAAGAACACGGTTCCATCATTTTATACAGGGTTTTAGCGACATCCTAAATGCATCAAATAGAACATTTGCATATTTTGTATTTGATGCTTTGGTTTGAAGACGTGAAAACCCTTCCCAACTAATTAAAAGGATTATGTTATAAATATGTTCAAAGTCTGTCATGCATTTTTCAACAAAAGATTTTTTTCTCAAAATATAAGAAGATGTATTAGTATTAGTTTTAGGTTTAGATGTTTCTGGGAATTAAAAGCGATCTAAAGGATGTAATGTATTGATCAATAACGGGATAATATACAGAGAGCTTTTACCACAATGGCACACGGCCTTAATAGGTTCGCAATGTTATGCGGTTTAGACTTTAATGGTAAAATAGACACAATAGGAATTGTGGTCATCGATAGACACAGATGTATGATGAATGAAGGTGAGGACAGGGGAGTAGTTTTCTCCCTTCTCCCTTCTCTCACTCTCTTCCTTTCTCCCGCATCTATTCTTTGTTTTAAAAACAAACTCAAAAATATTTCATAATACATGACATTTTCAGCGAACATTTGAACTTTTCATGTCAAAATCATTATGTTTGTTCAAAATAAAACATTCTATACCGAAGCGTAGCTTTCTAGATAGAATGACCGAAAAAGATTTAAAAGGGATGTTTATTTTATCAAAGTAGTATTTTTGTATTCTACTCGACTGGCTGGTAGGTTTTGAAAATTTGACTTCACGCAAAACATACATTGTTTAACCTCGTATTCATTCCCGTGTGATAAATCATTAATGTTACAGATCTAGACATTTTTCTGAAGACACCTTGACGATCTTTTTAATTTGCTTTTCTTAACAACAGAAAAGGTTTATCTACTACTATCATGCATAAAATTGCAAAATATCTTTACACACAGCCAATCTTTATCACATTTGGATTAAAACCGAGTCGCCATACGATTTTATATCAAAACTACCATTTGACAAAACCGATTTAAACTCAAAGAACGTATCCTTGATATTGACCTATGTATGTAGAATGGTTCCTAAATAAAGCTCGCTTCATAATAGCTGGTTCTTTTGTTGAACGTTATGGAATATCTGCTTCACAAATTATGACGGATATGCTCCAATTGTCGTAACCACTATCCCGTCTCGTACGCCACAAAAAAAAAAAAAAAACAAAAACGAAAAACCCACGAAGAGACACACTAAACCCAACATAGACGGGGATGGCCTCAGGTTTTCTGGACGTTTATACAGATCATGGCCTGATCCATGTTGGGCGCCCGTCGTGTTTAGCATCGAATTATCACACTTTCATTAATAAATATTTTGTCTTAGTTGTAGTTGTCGAGTTTTGACAGCATGCCGTGTCTGATTCACGCTTGCCTGTTTCCTTCTTTTGTCATATTTTAAGTTACAGACACTTGTCTCTGAAAAAAAAACTACTGGTATATACTTTGATATAATACATTAAGGTATATAGGTATTTTTTCAGTGGCAAGTGCCTGTGTTTTAAGTGATTTAATTCAACTTGTTTTGCCATTTATTTATATAAATATATAGTTTCCTTGGTACTGGTTTATTTGATGTTGCTTTCAAATGTATGTCAGTGATGACTTTGTTGTGGTCACTCATTCCATTCATGACTGATATAGCGCTAATATCTCCATCACATGCAAGGTCTGGTGTCACATATACATTCCATAGCAGTAAGTGGTCATTTGGCTTTATCCGCCGTAACCTAAAAGTTTGTACGAAATCTGTAAAAGCTGTAGGATATAAATCCGTGGTTAGACCGTAAAACAGTAAAATATGTTGGTACAGTTTGGGGTCTATGGAGGCAAAAAAAAAAGATCAAATCGATAGAAGAAGTACAAAATAAAAGCAGCGAGATTTATCCATAACAAATACACAAACGGATAATCAGGATGTGTCACAAAATCATAAAACAATTACAATAAGAAAGCCGTGACTCGAAAAAAAGAAAATCCAACAGATATAAAAATATGAAGATGTGGTATGATTGCCAATGAGACAAATCAGTCTCCCGGTGACCAAAGACCAAATCACGTTAAAGTTAACAACTATAAGTCACCGTATGTATGTTTGCTATTAAAGACTCGTTTGTGGCCTTGTGCTGTTTTCTGCTCTTTGGTCGGGTTGTTGTCTCTTTGACACAGTCCCCGTTTCTATTCTCATTTTTTTGTTGTTAAAGATAAACATGAAAAAATAAATATAGACAGACAGCAATACTTAATCCGAAAATTAACGACAGCTGTAATGGAGGTTAATGTCGTTTCTATCAAGAATGAACAAACACGGATCCCTGTGGACAACCATTCTTTCAAAAAGCAATCAGAGATTTCAGTCTACAAAACACTACATAAAAAAAATTGAGGCTGAGAAACACTTGGGACCTTGGTCCCATATGTTCTGCGTGAAATGTGGTTATGGAATTCGTTCCTTTTTGCTCACTTCTAAAGCTTCTACAATATATTGTCATTTTGTTCTCCTGGATGGTGAATCTTCTACATTGTATATCTTATGAGTCGTCTGATGCTTTAATTTGACTCCTGTTATTTCCACAGTGCGCTTTATGAAAATAGGAATAGAGGGGCAACATATATATATACCCTTGGTTATTGTAAAGTTTTATGAATATGAGCAAGAACACACATCAGTGAAAATAAATTGATATATATGAAAAATCTATTTAAAAAAATCAAACACAGAAAACATTATATGAAAATGAAAAGGGTTCATTCCCTAAACGCCTGTGGCTATATTTCAGTTTCAGAGATAGTTTGTAATTCATTGATATAGTTTAATTTGATATCAGTTGAACTTATATTGAAACACTTTCATTCAAAATTGCTTCTTTTTCATCATCAAATACGGTTATGTTTTCCCTTTGCCATAAAATGAGAAAAAAAAATATATAAAAATACCCAAACTTGATATACTTTCACTTTCACTTTGAACACGTGTATTTGTTTACATTTTTACTACTTCCGGTGTGAGACGCATGACACCAATTTAATATGGCGGTGCTAGGCAAACCGCTAACTTCCAAAATAACATGCACCTGTTACGAATTGGGACATACATGGACACCGTCATGCAAGAAGGCATCACTTGATGTTATGTTTGAAGTATTTAAGCAAGCAGTTAAGGTCTATGGATCACTGTACGCTGTGAGTTAACCCTCAAATTCGTGATGTACAGATGAAAGCAAATAAACTTTGAACCCCAAAATGAAAATGAGCAAACAAAAGACAAATTACTATTTAGAATGATATCAGTTTGGCATATTATAAACGGTCCTTCTAAGTTTGTTCCGACGATATTTATTAATGTAGACAGCAAGTCATTTTTGCACCACCCTCCCAAAGGCCAAATACAAAACCTTGTTGATGATTGTCAGATTGATCCATTGTTACATGAAGCTGCTTAACTCCTCTGTCAAATATTTGCTGCATATTCAAGACAAGAACCAGTTAATAACACATATTATAAATAGATCCTGTAATGGAGGCAGTCCGAGATGAAGGTCATGGAAATTTGGACTGCCACTAGTTAACAACAAATACAATAGATAGATCATGTAATAGAGGCCATCTGGGATGAAGGTCATGGAAATTTGGACTGCCACTAGAAAATAAGGGCATATTGGATAGGGACAGACATTAATTTTGCTTTGCAACAGGTCACCTATGGACCTCTCAAAGAGTTGTTGCAAGGGTTCTTAACATGCAAAGAGTGTGTCACTCTCTTGACATGAGACATTAGATTAAAAGTCCCCATTCTGACAAGACATGTTTGCATACTTGTATTCCGGCACAGCCAAACAGATGCACAACTTTGGCATGGGTTTTACTGCAGGTCGGTAGAAGACCAAAGTGGACCATATTTTAATTCCTAAGTCACCTTGTGGAAGCACTTTCCAATCCTCAATATGAATGGTTTCAGTTTGTTTTAAATTTGTCATTATTTTATACTGTATAACATGTATAAGGGATATTGTACAAAAAATATACAAAAATAAGCAGATGTGGTATGACTACAAATGATACAAGTATACACCAAAGTTCAAATGAAATAGATGTAATAGAGGAAACCGTACGGCCTTCAACAATGAGAAAAACCCATACCGTATAGTTGGCTATAAAAGACCTCGACATGAAAAATATGAAGTAATTCCATTGAGAAAACAAACTGTCTGAAAGATTCAGATAAGTTATGTTGCGTTCATTACAGCAATTAATTATGACGGAGAATTGTTTGAAAAAAATCATGTAGAGGTCTTGTCTCAGTTTGCTGAGTGAATGTACTTAGTTGATACAAAAGAATTGAAATCTAATTGAAGTAACCAGATCAACTGTTCATGCAAATCAGATAAGGTTCAAGGTCATAACCAAATCAGACACTTTAAGTTCAATGCTTTATTAATTGAGCAAAATTGAGCACAAAATCTTATTTTTCTGAGAAATAGGGTGATTCTGGAGAACTCTATTGATTGTTGGTTGCTTAACATCCAGTGGCAACTATTTCATGCATAATTGCATGTTCATGATGATTGGAGAACTTGAAAAGGGGTTCATATTCTGAAGGCTCCAAGTGGAAAAAGGAGAAGACTGACAACACCAACAGATAAAGAAACACACAAACAAATGTCAAATAAACAGTAAACAGAAAACTAAGACTTGAGAAACCTGTATTTCTCCAAAAACTGGTCATGAAGACTTGGACTAAAGGTACTCCTGAAATGTAAAGCAGTTCTACATTCAGCTCCACTAGTGGTTATGGTATTTAGATAATCTAAGTTCTAAAACTATTTTCAGGAAAGATTTGACATGTAATATATACAGTGGTATATTTATGATTATGAAGAAAATATATATTTTTTCTTAGTGTTTACAATTTTTATGCCCCCGCCATAGCGGAGGGGGCATTAAGCTTTACCCTTGTCCGTCTACGTACATAAACTTCCCAAAATTGCTTTCTGTTCTCTTACTTTAGTTTGCCTCAACCAAATGTTATGAAATTTATACACAATGCTTATTACCACAAAATACAGATCAAGTTTGAATTTTGGAGGCGTCACTTTTACCGTTCTAGAGTTATGCCCCTTTACAAATGGAAAAATTGCTGAAATATTCGTTTCCATTCTCTAACTTTAGTTTGCCTTAACCAAATGTTATGAAACTTCTGCTCAATGCTAATTACCACAAAACACAGATCAAGGTCGAATTTTGGTGGCATCACTTTTACCGTTCTAGAGTTATGTCCCTTTACAAATTGAAAAATTGCTGAATTTTTCCTTTCTGTTCTCTCACTAAGTTTGCCTCAACCAAATGTTATGAAACTTGTAAACAATTCTTATTACCACAAAACTCAGATCAAGTACAAATTTGGGTAGCGTCACTTTTACAGTTCTTGAGTTATGTCCCTTCATAACGTTTTATATGCAAGCAGGGGCATTTTATTTGTATTATATAGGGTCATAACCTTTCAAAATCAGACAAAAAAAAAAAAGCAGCTATAGAGTTTGTGATATCAGTATTAATAAGGGACACTTTTATTTGTTTAAGGAAAAAGTTATTTTGCCTCATAATAATTTATAATTTGTTTTTTGACAGATTGCTGGTGTAATCCAGAGGAAAAATAAGGATTATTTTCTGAAGTCATTCCCAGCACAGTTAGCAAGATCTACAATTTTCTTGACAACAAATGGAACCTTGTTTATAACATTTTTCTGTTTATGGAGGTAGGTAAATGTAAAAAATATACCAATACAGTTTATAATCACACATTGGCTCAGTTACAATTGGCTGCATACATGTATATGTAGCTCACTGTTCAGGAACATTTATGATACGGCCACTTTTTTGGCCATTCGAATTTGCAATTCTTAAAAAATAAAAAATCCATCAAATAACTTTCATGTGTTCACAAGACATCAATCAGCTAACTACCGTGGATTCATTTATTTTGATGGGAACCAGTTTTCACTGTTTGAAAAAAAAATTGTATTTTCATGGATATTTGATTTTGTGGTTTTGACAAAGTTTGAATATAAGCCAATAGAAAATTGACACTTTATTGAACATTGAAATTCGCCATTAACCTATACCCACAACATCCACTTAAATTTATTGGTATCCAAAGAATGGTAATGAATCCACAGTATTGTACAAATATTATAAAATATATATGCAAATATATTTTTGCTTTGTTTGTAAAGAATACAAATATTATATCTGGTATCCTACTTTTATTTTAGGCGAATGGCAAGATTAGAAGTACATCCTCTAGTACATTTTGGGGACCTTTTTGTTTTTCAGGTTTGGTCTATTTTTTTTAGATACAATAAGTAATGGGCTGCTATATTTAGTGCATGGAATGATTGTAAGATGTACATGTCTGCCTGGCAAGTTTCATCTTGTATATCTACCGGGTATGCAGTGTGTTTAATTGATGCTCCATGTTTTGTTAGGCTCCGAGCAATTAAGAGCTTGTCATACTGTTTAGACACCTCTCTATTGTTGAAGACTGTACGTTGACCTTGAAATGTCTTATATTTATTATTGCTGTTTGGTTTCTGTCTCATTGACATTTACTAGGGCCTCTGAGTGGCTAAGTGGTCTTAAGGGCATACGATACAGTTTTGTTCCCACACAGTGATTTTTTTACGAAAAATTAACATACAAGCTATTTTTCACCTAGTCAATTCAAATATGTAATTAAAGATATACCTTCATGTGCTACTTTAAGAGATAAATGGGGTTGAAATTTTAGACTTTTACTCAAAATTTTGATTTTTTTGACATTTCTATTCTTTGGATAGATATACCTATCTTTTTTGTTTCAAAAGATAAACAAAAGCGGATTTTTATAAAAACATTTGGAAAATCTTCTTTACATAAGTATGCTCTAAACTTGTATAACAATTCTTTGGAAATAATAAATTTTATTAAAGTTTTATGATTTTTGCTGTATATTTATCTGATTAAAAAAAAAATTCTTCAGTGACTTTTTCATAAAAATTGGTACAAATAATCTTCATACATAATCAAACCTAATGTCATTTTAAAAAAGGGGGGTCCATGAACTCGTTTTCAAGTTAAATCAGTCTGAATGATAAAAATCAGTTGAAAAATGCATCTTTTTCCGATATATCACAGTTTGATGTCACGAAAATACAATTTTATGTTAGCAATGCCATTACCCCCTCTGTAACTGTATCGTATGCCCTTAAGTAGTTTATCTACAGCAGTATCTAGCCTGTCAACACTGAGGTGAGTTTGAACCTGCTCATGGTTTACCAGCTCCCTCCAGGTACTCCGGCTCCTCCACCAATAAAGCTGGACACCTAGATTATGCCAACAATTAATCATTGACATATACCAAAGATCTCTGTTTATCAGCTGATTGGAAACGTATTAAAATTCATCTTGTTATATTATGTAATAAATGCAGACCATGCTGGAGTACTTTAAAAACATCCCCGTCTTTGGACAATATTTTTTAGTCATTAACAATTTTATTACCAAATTTGGATTTATCCCATGGGGTCAGTGTTCCCTCTCCCCCCCAAAAAAATAAATAAACCCATACCATTCCACAACTCAAAAAATCTTTAAAATAAAAGGATTTAAATTCCTTGATTCAAGCACCGAAAAAGTTGGTATAGTGCCTACTCCTAGAAAAGACTTTGAATTCAGAAGCGACTTTTTAGATGCTAAACTCTGAAATTCAAAGAATGTTTGTCAGTGGTGCTATTTATTGACTAACACTGAATCTTGACGCAACCATTGGTATATCATGATCAACTTACAGTCTTGCAAGTGACCATTGTTACAAATGCATTTTTTAAATTGTAAGCTGTACATGTTGAGTGTTTAAAACAAAATTGTCCAGCCAGAATGAAAGGTGAAGATCTGAGTTATTAAGTGTAAATCTAATGTAAAGTTATCTAAATCTTCAGTGAATATTTTAATGACAATTATTGTTTTCAGAAAAGTAGCAGGTTCTTTCTGTTACCTAGCAACCTTTGTTACAGGGATACCAGCTTGTGCTTTAGCTCTTTGTATAGAAAGAAAAAGCAGGTACAGTTGTGTTTTATTGTCCTGACAAATGTTTTTATCTCATCACTACTTCACAAAGTGCTTTTGATTGGTTACCGTGGTTACAGATACCAAATTTGAATTTTGAAAGTACCAGGATCTGCCTAGGAAAAGGACTCTGACAATTTTAATGGAAAATTGTAAGGAATTTCATTTTTTTTTATTTTATCAACTATTTATTATTTTGGGTTTTATGCACAATGTTACTTTTCAAACCGTGGACAAAAATATTTAATCAAAAACTTTATAGGATGGAAATAAATCTTTCTACAATGAAAATTTTCTATGAACAATTTAATCAATGGCATTTTGCTGAGGTGGATGTGAGATAAAAAAGATAAGGGCTGTTCCAGAATTAAACGCATGGGGGATGGGAGCCATACCATCCATAAAATAAAATTTTTCATTTTACTTATAATTCTTACAAAATTCTTAACAAAATGCGACTGCTCATCTTTCACCTCCCTGTTCAATCCACCTGATAAATTCTGGAACAGCCCAAAATCTAATTTTAACACTTTATGACTTACTTGTATTGTTGTAACTTACATGTAGTAAAATGTACATTTGTATAAATGTTGTTTTAGATATAGAAATTTACGTATATTTGAATAATAAATCAAATTATTACATTTATACAATGGTACATGATAGAAATGAAAGCCTTAAAAAAGCTCCTAGAATACTGAAGACAAATTAGGGGGATTGTTGCAGGATTTTCAAAATAGCGTTCTTTGTGGAAGAGTTTTAAGTACTCCAGTATCTTAATTCTGCTTTAGCTTTCTTTAAAAGTCAACTATCAAAATGTCTAATCCTTGTACTCTAGGAGCTTTAGAATGGCTGGCACACTATTATGATCTAAAACATATTACTGACTATGATTCTGTTTTCTCCTACAGGAAACTGATTGGTCATTTTTATTACCTCAGTATCTCATTTGTCCCTGCATTGACAGCCTCTTATGTTGCAATACTTCTCGAGAGGAAGTCCAGGTATGGACCAATCATCTTCATTTATTCAAATTTATGTAAATTAACATCCTTCATACATATACATAATATACAGATTGGTTTCATGCTCAGTTTGAAATTTGCTGTACTAATATATGTATGCTACTAGCTTGTATTTATTCAGAATTATGGTAAGTTTTCAAAGCTTTAAATTATTAAAGTTTTAAAAAGATTGCACATATATTCAATTACAATTGAACTAATTTTTAAGGGATTGCTTGATGACTGTCCAGCAGCAAATATTACAAACATATTCAGGATGACAATATGTTAGTCTGATATACAGATATTCTTTTTTAGCTCACCTGGCCCGAAGGGCCAAGTGAGCTTTTCTCATCACTTGGCGTCCGTCGTCCGTCGTCCGGCGTCGTCCGGCGTCGTCCGGCGTCGTCCGTCGTCGGCGTTAACTTTTTACATTTTGAACTTCTTCTAGAGAACCACTGAATGGAATGAAACCAAACATGGCATGAATGTTCCTTATGAGGTGCTGACCAAGTGTTGTTACTTTGTAGCCGATCCATCATCCAAGATGGCCGCCAGCAGGGGACTTAGTTTAACATAGGACCCTATGGGAAATGCATACAAATGACTTCTTTTAGAGAACCACTGAATGGAATAAAACCAAACATGGCATGAATGTTCCTTATGAGGTGCTCACCAAGTGTTGTTACTTTGTAGCCGATCCATCATCCAAGATGGCCGCCATCGGGGGACTTAGTTTAACATAGGACCCTATGGGAAATGCATACAAATGACTTCTTTTAGAGAACCACTGAATGGAATAAAACCAAACATGGCATGAATGTTCCTTATGAGGTGCTGACCATGTGTTGTTACTTTGTAGCCGATCCATCATCCAAGATGGCCGCCATCGGGGAACTTAGTTTAACATAGGACCCTATGGGGTATACATACAAATGTCTTCTTTTAGAGAACCACTGAATGGAATGAAACCAAACATGGCATGAATGTTCCTTATGAGGTGCTGACCAAGTGTTGTTACTTTGTAGCTGATCCATCATCCAAGATGGCCGCCATCGGGGGACTTAGTTTAACATAGGACCCTATGGGAAATACATAAAAATGTCTTCTTTTAGAGAACCACTGAATGGAATGGAACCAAACATGGCATGAATGTTCCGTATGAGATGCTGACCAAGTGTTGTTACTTTGCAGTCGGTCCATCATCCAAGATGGCCGCCAGCGGGGGACTTAGTTTAACATAGGACCCTATGGGAAATACATACAAATGTCTTCTTTTAGAGAACCACTGAATGGAATGAAACCAAACATGGCATGAATGTTCCTTATGAGGTTCTGACCAAGTGTTGTTACTTTGCAGCCGATCCATCATCCAAGATGGCCGAAAGCAGGGGACTAAGTTTAACATAGGACCCTATGGGAAATACATACAATTGTCTTCTTTTAGAGAACCACTGAATGGAATTGAACCAAACATGGCATGAATCTTCCTTATGAGATGCTGACCAAGTGTTGTTACTTTGTAGCCGATCCATCATCCAAGATGGCCCCCAGCGGGGGACTTAGTTTTACATAGGACCCTTTGGGAAAAACATAAAAATGTCTTCTTTTAGAGAACCAATAAATGGAATGGAACCAAACATGGCATGAATGTTCCTTATGAGATGTTGACCAAGTGTTGTTACTTTGTAGCCGATCCATCATCCAAGATGGCCGCCATCGGGGAACTTAGTTTAACATAGGACCCTATGGGAAATACATACAAATGTCTTCTTTTAGAGAACCACTGAATGGAATGAAACCAAACATGGCATGAATGTTCCTTATGAGGTGCTGACCAAGTGTTGTTACTTTGTAGCCGATCCATCATCCAAGATGGCCGCCAGCGGGGGACTTAGTTTAACATAGGACCCTATGGGAAATACATACAAATGTCTTCTTTTAGTGAACCACTGAATGGAATGAAACCAAACATGGCATGAATCTTCCTTATGAGATGCTGACCAAGTGTTGTTACTTTGTAGCCGATCCATCATCCAAGATGGCCCCCAGCGGGGGACTTAGTTTTACATAGGACCCTTTGGGAAAAACATAAAAATGTCTTCTTTTAGAGAACCAATAAATGGAATGGAACCAAACATGGCATGAATGTTCCTTATGAGATGTTGACCAAGTGTTGTTACTTTGCAGCCGATCCATCATCCAAGATGGCCGAAAGCGGGGGACTTAGTTTAACATAGGACCCTATGGGAAATACATACAATTGTCTTCTTTTAGAGAACCACTGAATGGAATTGAACCAAACATGGCATGAATGTTCCTTATGAGTTGCTGACCAAGTGTTGTTACTTTGCAGTCGATCCATCATCCAAGATGGCCGCTAGGGGGGGGCTTAGTTTAACATAGGACCCTATGGGAAATACATACAAATGTCTTCTTTTAGAGAACCACTGAATGGAATGAAACCAAACATGGCATGAATGTTCCTTATGAGGTGCTGACCAAGTGTTGTTACTTTGTTGCCGATTTACTGTTCAAGATGGCCACCAGGATATTTTATTAAATAACGGGACCAATATTAATCAAAATTTGGCCTCAATCATTATTTGGGTATCTGTTATGATTTTTATCTATCTTTACATGATTTCTAAAACCAAAGTAGAGTCAGGTGAGCGACACAGGCTCTTGAGAGCCTCTAGTTGCAATCGGTGTCACATGTGGAGCAGGATCTAGAAACTCTTGGGTAGCACCCCAGGTTTTTGGTGGGGTTCTTAACTTTTAATGTTGGGGTTAGTAGAATGTTGTTTTGTAAGGTAGTTTATATTTTTTTCCATGGCATTGTTAGTTCGTTTTCAACTTATGAGTTTGACTATCCCTTTGGTTTCTTCCACCTTTATATACCAATATACACAGTCAGGATTTTTACTGTGTTATCTCACAAGGTAATTAAGTCAACAAAAAAAGGCATACAATTATTTGGCTTCTGAACTCAGCTGATCAGGATTCGGTCTTGCTTATGAATGCGATTGGCAGAAGAGTGTCAACTACAATACCAATTTTGTAGGATTTGGCTAGAAATAGAAATACTTGAGTAGGTTTTCGGCTGTTGTCTGCTCTATGGTCGGGTTGTTGTCTCTTTGACACATTCCCCATTTCCATTCTCAATTTTATTGTTTCAGTTTGGAAATGGAATGGATGTACCACAATATATACTTGCAAGAAATTATATAGGAGATAGCAGTTTTATTTATTGCTGCTCCTTTTTTGACAAATAGTGGATGGTCTTATAAAAAATGAGCTACTATGTAAAGAACTCTCATTTGATCAAAGTGAAAAAAATTTTAATAGCCTAACCTTTATCTTTGGGACAGCATACTTTTGAATGCATGTTTATTTCAATCTCTAAGTGTGGAGAGGGAGGAGGAAAGAACCATTTTTTGATACTGATTACAGTCCTTAAAACCTTTGAAATTAAAGGAAACTCCCTTCATTGTGTCGAAAGAAGGTATCGCTTAATTGCAAATTGGCAGTTAAAACTACATAGGTACTTCAATCAGCAAATCTTGTTTCCACCATAGATCCTTTTGTCTTCGTAAAAACCTGAGGATTTTGATATTATTTGTTGTTTCAGTGTAAAATTACCAGCTACATTTTAAGATTTATACCAAATTTCTAACAAAGCTTTTAATACCCTTTAAGTCCCATTACAGGTTTTTAAATACCTTGGAAAACGGTTTCTAGACATATGTAAAAAAAAAATGGTTTTGCTGTTTGTAGCCAGTCATACTTTTACCATGCCATGCAAGTCATTACATTAACTTTGAAAATTTTAACATGGCAAAATAATTTAATGTGGACAGAAAGGATGTGTAAAAAGGTGTTAAACATGAGACAAAATTTCCACACATGGATTTTACTTGCAGGGGAAGTAACTCCTTCTTAAAAGAAATAGTAATTAAAGAAAGTAATAGAACCCACCTTCTTTTTTCTTGCATTATTTATCATGCTCCCCTGACATCATTGTATTACGTAGAATTACTCAATTACGGAAATAATTTAAGCTCTAAAAAAAGATGTGATTTCTCATGACCATATAATAAAGTACATCTTGTACGTCTTTAATATTATAAATTATGATTACATCATAACATTATCGCTTTAGGGATTATTTTCAGATTCTTTATGAACAGTTTTATGCTGATATTTAAAGCTAATTTTGCATTAAGTAGGAAAAACTTCCGATAAATTTAATTATTTAGGGTAGGAACGTCTTTTTATGTAATTAATGGAACAATTTGCATATGAATAAGTATGGTAAATAGGTGTACTCTGTCATTATTTCGTAAATAGTTTAATTTATTTTTTCGGTAGCATGAATTTATTTTCTGCAGAATTAACTCGGAAAATTGTCTTGTTGCGATGATTGTTATGAGTAGAACCTAATAACAGCTTTTATATTTCATTTTTGTAGTAATTTAATTTAAAATCATTTCCTAGAAATGAGATGAAAATATAGTTAAAAGGACTACCAATAGTTTTAAGAGTAATATAAGCTTCAGGGGCATTGCATTTTTCCACAAGAGGGTATGATTAGATTTTTTTTGTCTTGATTTGTTACCAAAGGGTAGTTAAGCTTTATTAGAAGTATATTTTAGGTTCAGATGATCTACTTTTTATGCTTGGATGATTGATGTCATTTTGGTATGTCCATTTCACTTTTTATACGCCCGTTTACGGGACGTATTATGGTATACCGTTGTCCGTCTGTCTGTCTGTCATCAACATGTCGTACATTAACTCAAAAATGCTTTAACCAATTTGCATAAAACTTTGGTGAATTGTTAATATCTATTGACGTGAGCTCCCATTCGTTTTTTTATAAAATTTAGATTTTACGTTTCCGAGTTATGGGGTTTTATTCATTAAAAAAAGGGGGATTTTCCAGTTTTCGGACAATAAGTCAAGAATGCTTTCACCAAATTGCAAGAAATTGTGGCAAA